AGGAACGAAGTGCAGTGACGGTGCCGATAAATGAGGTGCGGAGAATAGAGCAACAGCAAATTAAATAAACAGCTACTGCGCTAACTACTTATCACCGGAGTTTGTTTATAGATATCCTGGCCCAGTTGANATAAATGAGGTGCGGAGAATAGAGCAACAGCAAATTAAATAAACAGCTACTGCGCTAACTACTTATCACCGGAGTTTGTTTATAGATATCCTGGCCCAGTTGATGATGCTTCTCATTATCTGGTACAACAATCATTAGGAGAAGGGGGGTTATTACCTGATAGAACTTGAATCGGACTGTTTGCTGATGAAGATGATGGTGGCTGATGATTTGGAAACGGGAGCAACACTCCAGCCAGCAACAGCAGCCGAACAAAGGCGCAAGCTGCCGAGACGTAGTGACAATGAACGGCGAGACGGCGCAATGTACGACGGTGACTGTACGACGCAGCTCCGAACTGTGTTCCGAGCAGAATCAAACCAAAAGAGGAGAGAGAGGAAAGAATATATCGAGTCAGAATACTGCTGCAAAAACACTGGCAAAGTGTGTCTTGTGATGGGAGATTTTTTTTCGTTAACACTGAAGCGTCTGTTTGCCTTTTTATACAGCATAATATGACATTTAGTAGTTTTTAATGGATCAGTGGTGATCAGCAGTGGTGTGTTGCTATGAGGTGAGCGTGAGTTCCAGTGACAACCTGATTAGAGTATGAATTCGGAGAGCATCTTTCAAGTGTTGCTCTGGTTATCAGTGGTTTTTCTCAGTATTTTGTCTGCCTACTTGCTTGATTGTCTATTTGTTGTTTGTTCACTTGCTGATTTGGTTTACCAAAGGTCGAGTGCTTAATATTTTCTCTAGAAGTGCTCATGAGAGCGAGAAGAGCAGTGCATAGTCACCGACGGTGAGGTCTGGCGTCACATGATGACCACCAGCACACATCGGCATTTCTGGTTTAATGATGGGATACTTTTGTGTAATTTTTACACATTTAAATGATTGAAACAAAAAGTATAACCTTCCAGCAGCTGGAATCCAGCTTGATTCTACTGCAAACATCGTTGTAAATGTTAAACTGTCGCTTTCCTGCATTGACTGTTTGGAATGTATATAGCGTTGCTAACCATCATCACCTACAGGAAAACGGACCTGTGGCCCAGCGGATAAGGCGCCTGACTACGAATCAGGAGATCAGGCGTTCAAATCGCCTCTGGTCCTTGACCTTGAATCTTTGGATTCTTTTTTGGTGTTTCTGGTTGTCGAGGATTCTTTTTATTGTCAGGAGCGATTGATCAAACTTAAAAAATGTAAAAAACGCATGTGGTGCTGATGTGGTAAATGGTTTATTGGGAATAGACTGGTGATCAGACAGAGAGTAACAAGGTAATGACAAGTAAAGTGTGCTAACATGAGATGGGGATATATACAGAGATGTCTGTCTGAAGATGTGAGTTAGGGTTAGTGAGATGTGAGCATGAGTGTGTGGGTGAAATGTGAGTCAGTGAGAATGAACTGTGGTGATTAAGTGCAAGGCACTACTGCAAAGCATTAGCTGCTCTAACACTCTACGTCAGTAACAAAACAAATAAAACAATGGATTCTACTTTTAATTTGTTTTCGGTAATGATCAAAGTTAACTCTGAATCATTTTTTCTAAATACTTGCATTTTGCAGTGATATTGTCCAAGTCAAAGTAAACAATCTTTTTGATATCATCTTCTGCAAATACCCTGTTTCTCCTGCTGCTGCTCATCACTTGTGGCTTATGTCTCTCTTCAAGCTCTGCCTCATCCTCTGTCTGTCATCACTAATTTGGTGATAGATTGCCGATGAGCA